TTTTTATACCTTGATTTCTGCAAAATTCATTGTACTCCTCTTAAACTTTTTCAAGGCATTCATAACGCCTTAAACTCAAATCTCATAGCTCTTCCTTGTCATGAAAGCCTTCACTAGTTAGCGATGAATGAATAACAACATTTAAACCTTCTAAAATATATAGACCACATATTTTAGACCCTTTAGCAATAATCAATTCATCACACGAAATCTTCAATACTCCACATTCAACTCTAGTACAATAACTTATATTATCAAACATACTTATAGATGACAAATTTCGCTTGAGTTCTGGAACATACCTCACATTGTGAATAATAAGTTCACGATCATTAAACATTTTAAATCTGACCGTACCAATATTATGAACCTTGCATGCCTTATTATTTTCAAGGCGAACTACTCCACCTTGCACCATCTTCAAAGTTTCAAAGTATTCTATTCTTGGACACATGTGATAATAGCAACATGAGTCAATTACCCAACTATATTCAGTTTCCAAACTCGATACTACTAGTGCTTCAACATCCTCATAACTTTCCTCACCCAATGCAACTACAGCTTGAACAGAATCTTCATTGACCTTTCTTTTAGGACAATCCCTTTTAAAGTGACCGATTTTCGGAAAACTAAAATATTTTACCTTTGACTTGTCAGACCTCTTTGATTTGGACATCCCTTTACGCTCACCTCCTCCTCTTGACACATTCAAGCCTTCATCACTATCTTCAATCTTCAAATCTTTCAACTTTGAAAATTCTTTGGATTTCACCGCCGTCTGGACTTCATCCAAAGTAATAGTATCATCCTTGAAGTGCTCAAAGGATCTGGGTAATGAACTCAACAGGAGCAAAGCCTTGTCCTCATCATCAATCTTCACTTCAATATTCTCAAGATCATCGATAATCTTGTGAAATTCTATGAGCTACTCAACTATAGATTTATTCTCCACCATTCAAAATGAATAGAGTTGTTATTTCATATACAACCTATGAGCCAAAGACTTTGTCATATACAATGATTTAAGTTTTTCCCACATAGCAACCACAGTTTGCTCCCTGGCGACTTCTCTTAGAACTTTATCCCCGATGCACAAGATAATGGCACTCCTGACCTTATCTATCATCTCGGTCTTCTGTACCTGCGCAAACCCTGCAGGCATCAACGCTTCACTCTTCAAAGCATCGACACACTTCTCTTGAAATAAAATTGCTTGCATCCTAATTTTCTAAAACTCGAAGTCGTTGTTACCGGGAAATTTCTCGATCTGCCATCTACTAACCATGGTGCTCACTTGTTAACAATATCTCTTTGCTCCATGGTATTCAATAAATGCCAATTATTCACACACAACAATACCATAATTCGACATTTATCACTGATTTGCTTTCTTTTACTATATCAAGCTACATTCTCTTTCTTCGGACAAGGTGAAAGTGAAAGAGGAAATATAATCTTGGTTTCAAGGGATTGGCTATAAATAAGGGTTCAACCCTAGTGATGTGCCATCTTCAGATGTGAGGAAGAGGTGAATTGATATTCATGCTATCTTGATTGTAGTTAATATTGAGGAGAGAAAGGAAATCTTTTATGAGAGCGGTGTTTTCATGCTTTTTTTACATTCGTGATTTCTTTTTCTAGATAGTATGAATAAAATAATCAAGCCGAATATGTTTTACAACCTTGTCGATGCTCAAGGTATTCAAGTTGTGGTGAATACTAAGTCTTCTTCTTCTGCCCCCACTTCTGCTCCGCCCTTTTCTCCTAACTTGATTGGAGAAGCTTTAACTCCTGTGCTCGAAGTGGATCACCTTGTTGAAGCTTTAACCACCTTGATGATGGGGTAACTAACTCCGCCTTTAGTTTCGACCAAAAAGATTCGAGATGAGGAACAAGAATCTCTTTAGACTGAGTCTTCTCCAAATGGACTTGTCAACACCAACTCTTTTCGCTCTTTCACAATGTGTTGTATGCACTCTCTTGAGACAAAGTTGTGCAATCTCGAATAAAATGGAGTGTTATACTGATGCTCAATGTTGGCAACACTTTTTTTGAAACGGTGCTCCAATTTTATCTAGTTGTAGCTTTAACACGATGTTGCACCCTAGTATCTGCACAAATCTCTTTGACTATTATGCAACATGTTTTTGAGTCTCCAATGAGAAGAATATACCCTATAAAACAACATTAAAGAAAGTTCAATAAATAAATTGATTATAATTTGCATAATAATTTTAAACTCACAAGCTTATAAAACGTACTTGTTTATTGTCGTGTTCCCTAAACGAGTGACTTGGTTAGTCCATGTAGCAAAAAAGTTTTTCTTATAGGATTTCAACCATGTTTGGTACACATGATCAACAAATAAAGGGATATCAACACATACTATCTCAAAATAATATAAGTGTCTCTCAAACTCAAACACCCTATTTGAATACATGAGTTTGTTCCACAGATCCATAACATGCTATTTCATATCAGCCTTAACATATTCCTTGCACTTCAAGCCAACATTTTTTGAAATATGGAATTCACATAAGAAGTGGAATGAGGATGGGTAAACAACTTTAATGACGTTCATCAAGGCAAGTTCTTAATATGTCAGCATGACCTTGAGAAGTAACTTCTTAGATATAAACAACTCTTTTAGCTTCTCTAGTGCATACGTGAAGTTTTCCTCCCTTTCATTTTCTAAGTAGGAAAACCTGACCAAAAAAGTCAACTTGGTTGGCGTAACACCAACACTCTAAAGTAGTGGGAGCTGCAACCTGTTGGTTTTATACGTGGAGTTAAATGTCAAGACCATATGAAACATAATCAACAACTTTATAGAATCAGGATGTGTCCAGAATATATTAGCAATAACATCCAATTCCTCTCTCTTTATGATCCAACACGCGTATCATCATAAATTAAGGTTAACAAATGTTGTATTTCTGTGCATGAACCTTTGATAGTATACTGATATATCGATCTTGCCTTATACATATGCTGCATACTTGTTAGATTATCAATATCCCATCTCTCAATGCAACCATTATGAACCCAAACTCCATGTGGTATTTTGTCATGTCATTCAAAAATGGTCTTTCATTGAGCTTTAAATATCTTAATATGTCACGACCTTCTAAATCTTTAGTTAGATCACGATTGTGAATATCACACCTGATTGTTATGATTCAATCGCAATTGTTTGGCCAATATCTCAATTTAAAGGGGGCATTAAACTCTTATAATAGAAGTGACTTCCAATTTTTTAAATTCTTGTACTTTCCTCCCATCTCATAACCCGTACTAAATTTGTCTCTCCTGCCTCTTTGCTCATTTGTTATATCAGAACAAACAGTAACAACAATAATACCGTGTTTTTTTCCAATAGACTGCCCCCATGATAACACTTCGGTCCGGGAGAATTTTTATTAATAATACCAAAATATATCAAATTTTTATTAATTTTTTAAGAGTAAATTTTTAACAAACACTTTAAATTCTAAGAGAGATAAATAGTAAGAAAAATATTTTTAGCATTATTGAAATATGTTGGAGTACCATGTGTGAAAGGGGTACCAAAGTAGGTTCCTGAAAATGTAAAACACCAATATTGTGCTCAACTAAAACAAGTCCAAAAAATTGATGAGCTATCCCTATTCCCACCCTCCTTTAACCAAATTTAACCAATTTATTCTATTAATATCACACTCAAAATATATGTCATATTTATTTTTCAACTTAACTTAGAAATTTTGAGTTCGAATTCAATTCTCTTGAAAAATTTACAATTGCACACAAATGATACTCAATTTCTAAAAATAAAATAATCACACTTATTCACAATCTTTACCTATAAAAAACTTAAAACACCATAATAGGTTAAATTCTTGTAGATTTAAGACATTTTTTAAATTTTGATTTTGTTTTTCACAATTTCAATCAATTTAAATTAAACACTTAAAATTTTTAGAATTATCACAAATATGAAAATTCTGATGTCTCTATAGATCTATAAAAAATGTCTTACATATTTATTTTCTATAAAACAATTTCAATTGGATATGTTTGATAAAATAAAGAATTTAATTGTTATGTTTTTTCGGTATGATTTGACGGGATACATAATTGTCATTAATTGATAATGTAAAAGACATTTACATTGTTAATATATCACTTTTTTTTCTAAAATAAATTATAAATCATTTAAATAAACATAAATTTCTAATATTTAGATCTTGTTAGCAAAGAAAGATAAATATAAATTTAAGATTGTATAATTATTTTTTATTTTATAATTAAATAACTAAATTTAATTTTATATCTGGATATAAATATATTTTATATTGTATCAAATAAACTTTTTATTTGACATGTTACTATAAACATAATATATATTTTATTTTAATTATTAATGATTTTAATTCGAAAAATAAAATCCTAAATTTTAAATGTTAATTTTTTTTCACGAGTCTTTTTTTTTTATTTTTTATTTTAATACAATTAAACTTATATAATTATTATTTATTTTAAAATTAATAACTTATTTAAAATTTAAATTATCAAATTTACATATACATTTAAAATTATTTTAGGCGTGTTTTCTTACTAGTGGTTACATATGAAAATCTCTTCATTTTTATTTTTCCAATAAAAAACATTGAAGGGACACGTGTCAAACGCAAAAGAAACACCACTTTGCGCTCAAAACGCTGTGTTTCAAGTGAGGTGCAAGTGTTGTTGTTCTCTGAATCAATTTTCAGTTAGGTCGCAACCGTTTCCATTGTCTGAAAAATCATCAATCCAACGAATCCCATAATCAACCCAATTTTTCATCTTCAAATTCCTCAATTTTCAATTGGTATGGTTCCTTTCCCTTCAATTTTCATAATTTTGATTGTTTCTTCAATTCAATTTTGCAATTTTTTTTTTTTTTTTGCATTTGATTTTTGAGTTTTCTTACAGGTTCTTGAACAACTATAGTTGAAGTTTTATTTTTTAAGATTAGAACAATGGAAACTCAAAGTGCTGAAGATAATAGTGGTGATATTGATGTTAATGTTGGAGGGGTCTCAGCTAATGTAGATGTTATTGGTGATTTGGAACTGAGTGTAGCATGTTTCTCTGAGAAAGTTTCAAACTTGAGTATTTTTATGATGAATTTGGAAACTTTGGAAGCTGAATTTGAGGGTTTAGTTATTATGGGTGAAGAAAACATGGACGTGGAGTGTGTTTTAAAGGGTTTTGAATTTGATTTGTTATGTGGGGTGTTGGATTCTGAGGTTAGAGATTTGGGTTTGTTTTTGGATACTCTTCATGCTGGGATTTCTGATGCTAAAGATAGAGTTTCTTCTTTTGAGGATTGGCAAGATAGGTTGATTGAATTGGAACAATGTTTGAAGCTGTCGGAGGAGCAGTTTTACGAGATTAAGAAACAATCTGTTAATTTTCAAAGGTTTTTTGCTTCTGATAAGAAGGAAGAGAATGGTAAGTTGAGGATCTTAATGATTGAAATTTGTTCATGTAGTTTTTGTTTTTGTTTGCACATTGATTGCTTTGCTTGTTTTTTTATATGTTCATGATCTTATCTGAATATGCATTGTGAGTGTGAAGTTATTTTTCACCGACATCCGATAACAACTCTTCAATTTGCCACATCATGTTTGATGTTTTTTTAATAAAAGAAGCTATGTAATTCTTTGTTGTGTTGTGGTTGATTGTCGGTGTAAATAATTTTACATTGTAATAAATATTTGTTGTCCTTTTTTATCTGTGGAATTTTCAACGACTGACAGGTAATGTTGAAGAGGGTGGAAATGTCCAAGAGGATAATCAAGTTTTGGATGTAAACAACACGATGAACATGGAAACAACTTTGAGGATGCTTGAGAAATCTCTAGCAAATGAAATAGATCTCGAGAAGAATTTCAATGACTCGAAGAAAATTGAAGAAAGTCTTAAACAAAGGATTGCTTCTTTACAAGACGAGCTAATTCAAATGGAGGAAGAAGCAATTGAAGTTTGGGAAAGATGGTCTGAAGCAGACAACGCCTGTGAGATCCTAAAGGGAATTTCAAATGAATTGTTGGCTAAACTCAAACTTTCTCAGTTCAATTTGGTGGGTTTAAGAAAAAGTGAATCCGAGCTTACAGCTAAGCTGGAAACTTGTATACAACAATTGAAAAGTAGAGATGCTAATTTGGACAAGATAATTGAAAGCAAGAAAGCCGAAGATTCTGAAGCTGTCTATTTAAGTATCAAGGTGTGTTCACTTGAGAAGCAGCTACAAGAAACTGAATGCCAGTTAGTGAATGTGAAAACCTCCGCCGATGAATATCAACAACAATATAATGTTGCATGTTCTGAAATTAGAGACATGGATAACCTTATCATGGAACTGAAAGAAAATGTATCGAATGCAGAAAACCGGGCTAATGCAGCAGAAGTTCAGTGCAAAGTATTGAGGGAAACAAATGAAGAACTCAACAAGGAGCTTTCTCTTTTAAAAGACGGTGGTATCACATCCGAGAGTGTAGAGTTACTTGAGAGGCAGCTAAAGGAGTATGATTTAAAGCTGCAAAATGCAGTAGCTTCTGCTGAAGCTAGTCAAGAAAAGCAAAAGATGCTGTATTACACAATCGAAGATATGAAGCATGTGATTAAAGATCTAAAATCAAAGGTTTCTAAAGCTGAGAGTTTAGCTGACAGTGCAGAGGAGAAGTGTATCATATTATCTGAATCTAATGCTGATTTAAATGAGGAAATAAGTTTCTTGAGGAATCGATTGAAATACTTGGAGGGATCACTGCGCCAAGCTGAGGAAGCGAAAAGGGCAACTGCAAAGGATATTGGAAAGCGAACCAAAGTTTTCAAAAGTTTGGTGACACAGCTAGCATTGGAGAGAGAACATCTTAATAAGAAGGTAAACACCAATCTTTTGAAATCTTGTTTCTGTCCACTACATTATACTACTTCCATACAGACATGCAATGATATCTCTGGACTACATAATGTTTAATTTGAGTATATCTTGCTCATTAATCAACAAAAACAACTAGGGTATCAATTAATCTGCATAGAATGATAAATTGTGTGTTAGAGGGATTTGCATAGAATGATAATTTGTGTTCTTTATTTGCAGTTTTCTGCCTTAGCAAGCGAGAACAAAATTTTGGTAGTGAAGCTGAAGCAGGCATATAAGGATCCTTCTCAAGAAGTTAGTGCAACTTTATCTTCTGAGCACAAGGTTAGCACTTTAGACTTTATCAACATGTTTTCTATTTGTATACGTTTCTGATATGCAAGACTCCCCTAAGTAGTTAACAGACATTATTAGTTGGCTTAAAGATGTATGCTATTAGCCCTCCTTACCGATGTTTCTACATATTTTCTCCACTCATGTCCAAACCTCTTAACATGCATGGCATGCTTCTGGGTAGACCTGTCAAATTGGTCTGCATTTACAAACTAAGGCATCCTTCTCCATTTATAGTTGTGAGCTAGTTTCTTTAAATAACTTTGATTTGACATTTTGATATTTAAGTGTTGCTGTTCAGTTAATTTTAATATATGCTGTAGTGTATGCTTTGTTTTTTTGTGTGTCAAGGCCAATATTTATTTTTATTAGCTATGAAAAGTTTTAATAGAAGATTTTTGTGTGTGTATAATTTTGCAATGTCTCAGCCTCCATTTTGCAATGTTTTTGGATAGTTTTGTAAGTGTGATTTTTTATGAGATCGATAAGATTAATTACTTTTAAGGGCACATGTTAAAGAATTTAATATCGAAATACTATCTTAAAAGTCACACTTTCAATTCTTGAAAAGTACACAATATTTTTCTTAATACAAAATTTCTACTTTTGGGTTGGTTAACATGTGCCTTTAGAGCACACGTTAACATGACCCTTTATTAATAAGTGTGAAGTTTGTTAGTTAATGAGTTTTATACTTGAGGGAACAAGTATTATGGTATTATCTTGTGCTAAAACCATCAATAATAGATTGGTCAAAGTGGTAAGGGATTTGGACCCCTTAAACAAGTGGTTAGGGGGTTCTGTACTTGTGGAAAATACAATAAGGGGAACCTTTGTTCGTGTGAGGAATCAAGAGGGTTTTTAGGTGTGCTGAATATCTGAATAGTGAATCATCCCTCCCAACCCTAGAGGTTGTGATATTTATAGCCACGTTCCATGGGCCAAGTTGTGGGTGAAGAACCGGTTCCATCCTAACTGCTTGGCTAGGATGCGGGAATAGGAAGACTCGTTCTTCCCCATTGATAAGTAGAACGGTTTTTTCCTTGTAGAAATGATAATAACAGCCCTTTCGGGATATGTGGTCGGCCACGTACTAAGAGCATTGCCTCTCAATAACTCTGATTTGGGCCGGGCGCCTCTCCCCAAATGGACTGGTTCGGGTCGGACGATCTCATGATCCACCACGTCATGCCCGCCCGACTTATCCTCTGATCTCTTACATCGCTCTTGGGCTGATTGCATTATGGATTGGTCTCTTCCAAGGCCCAATTAAAGTTATCCCAATCCAGCCCGACTTATCCTCTAATCTCTTAAATCGTTCTTGGGCCGATTGCATTATGGGTTGGTCTCTTCCAAGGCTCAATTAAAATTGTCCCAATCCAGGTTCCATCTCTGACTTGTGTATGAAGATGGTTCACTGACAGAGATTGGTCACCACTAAACTGCGGTGGGAACTTTGTATATATAACTTGTTAACTTAAACAAACTAGTGCTGAAATTTGAATCATAGGAGAATTCTGATCCAAAATGAAACGCCCTGCCACAGTAATCATAATAACATTTTGTCATTTCTGTGAAATGTTTTTAATCATTATTAGCCTTATTACTATTTGATTTTATAACAGAAGAGAAATATGGACAGAGCAAAGTTCTAATTGTTGTTCCTGTTTTTCTTTTCCAGGATAACAAGTCATTCAAAACCTCATCTGCAAATGCTAGTGAAGTGAAGTCTGATTCTACATCAGATGTCGGGACTGTGAGGAGAATAGATGCAGGAGTTCTTTCTTTTAAGCCCTTATTAATATCACTGTTTGTCGTCGTGATTTCAGTTGCGATATTTCTGTATTTCCAAGGACTTGAATTGAATTGAATGTTGATCACAGTCTATGAGTTGATTGTCATCAGGAGTTTTGCTTTATTTTTTGGATAAGGCAAGAGACTATTTGTGGGATAGAGTGAAAAGCCATTGACATTGTAGGTTTTAGCGAAAAGCATTCTGTAGTAATCAAATTTTTTTACAATAGTAATTCCATCTGTGGCACATATTATTCTTTTTCTTTCTAACATGTTTCTATACCATATTGTTATTTTTATAAGGTATGGGAATATTTAATGAGATCCATAGTACAAAATGGGTCTAAAACATGTGTCACATTGTGTTGGATAATGACACAATAACTTGAATCAGAAGGAATAAATTTTAAAGTGTATGAAAACGTTCAGTTTTAGATTTGATTTGTTCACATTAGTTTATTAAATTGATTTAATCTTTGTTTTTATTATTTCATTTGTTTCGATTATAAACAATCATTATTATTTTGTAATATTATCATGTAATTTAGTATAAGTAATATATTATATCAAATATATTCTTAATTAGTACTTTTATAATATAATAAAAAATATAATTTGTAATTTAGATGCTTACAAAACAGATCCAAATCAAACAGCATTTGAAATTCAGATATCTAAAAAATCAATTTAAATTAAATAGCATGAAATTGAATTGGATCGGTTTTTTTTAATCAATCATTCAAAACCGAATTAAATTGGGAGTAAATTTTTTTAACCAATCATCTAAAATCAAACCAAACCGCGAGCAAATTTATTTTTTAAATTGAATGATATTTTACTTATTTTTAACTGAAAGATGACAATAGCCCGATAAAATTAAAAATAAGAATAGGTACAAAAATGAGGGGGACGTAGAGCCAGAACCTCAAACCTACATCAGTGTGTATACCAGACTTGCACAAATGATTTATTATCCTGTAAATAAGAGTTGTCAAAAAATTGAAATCTCTAATCTTGATCATACAATTGTCCCATTTGTTCCTTAAATTTCAAGGCACTACAACTATCTGTAGGGTTTAATGAGCAACAATGAATTCGTCTCCAATTAGACCAGTTACAACTAACCACATATTCAATTGCAAGAATGTCTCCCATAATCTCCGCAAACAGTGTATTATTTGGAGACAAATTACAAGCAAAACTGCCAAGATGCTCACCAAGGTGATTTCTAAATATCCCACCACAAGCAGCTCTAATGGGATCTTCAGCTGAGGCCCCATCAATGTTAACTTTAACCCAACCCAGCTGAGGAGGGCACCACAAAATATCCTTCAAACAATTGGAAATTGGAGGATGATTACTGATAGAAAAATTCTTCATTATCACAAACTCAGTCGTGGAAGAGCTAGCAGTAAGATTGCACAAATTCCCAGCCAAATGAGTCATCGAAGCAATGGAAGAACAAGAAGATTTCCAATTAATCGAGACATTTCGAAATCTGAGCTGGTCCCGTGCGTGCCAAATAGCATGAACAGTGCTAACAACTGCAGCAATAGTCACCAGGTTACACTGCGCAGATTAGATCTGTTCATGATCAGGAAGCAGTCACTCAAGCAAGTGATGGAAGAATTAAAAACGAGCATCTGCTGCAGTCAATTCCAAACCTTACAAGCATAAGCATAAGCACAAGAGAAAAATAAATGGTTTAGATCTTCCTCTTTGTGACAAAGGCTGCACATAGATGGCACATGAAAACCCCAAACAGTCATCTTCTCATCAGTGGGAAGTTTAGACAGGCTAAGTCTCAGAAAAACCAAAGAATGGGAAGGGGGAATATAGGGACTCCAAATAAACCTGTCCCAATGAGAAACAGCAGTGTTTCCTTTGACATGAATGAAAGCTTCTTTCATATTAAGTTGCCCACTGTCAGAACAATTCCATATTAGCTTGTCCTTTTGCAAGACATTAGGATATACCTCTTCAATAAATCGAAGCAGCATCAGATTCAAAGCCATATCAGTAGGCAGGACTATACTGCTACCAACTATAAATTGACTCAGTTTCGCATTCGAGTCTTACAAGGAATCCTCAGGAATTTGCAGCAGAGAAACCAACGGTTCGCCACACCAATTATCCAACCAAAATCTAATATTCTCCCAGTTGCCAACATTCCAGACCGTGTTTTCCAAAACATTACTCAAGCAGTTTTTAACACCAGTCCAAATAGAAGAAAAAACATGACATCGGACCTGTCGCCCATGTTCAGCACTGCACAAGATTGGAAGCCTTGTTGATAGTCCTTAAAGATCTCAGCCCTCTACTTTTGTAAGATCTTAGTCACCAATTTACGTCTTTCTATGTCGGCACTCCAAATGAAATTACTTCTGACTTTGTCAACAGTAGGCATAAAATGAGCAACTTTAGGCCTTCCTTTGAAGATGGGAACCCCCAAATAAGTGAAAGACAGCTGACCGATTAAAAAACCAATTCTGTTGGCAAGCATAGAATGCCTAGTAGGCGACATAGATATAAAGGACTTAGAAGGATTGCACACTGTCCAGAACAGTCAGCATATCTTTTGAATACCACAGATAAAGCATCAAGAGAACTAACACTCCCTTAGTGAATAACATGATATCATTGGTATATAAAACATGCGAAGGAACCGAAACACCCCGACAGGCCTGCATAAGCTTTATCTTACCGTTAGAAACCAGCTGAGACAAACCTCTGCTAAGCACATCCTCAACTATGCAAAACAGTAACGGAGACAACGGGTCTCCCTGCCGAACACCTCTCTGACAGTTGAAGAAGCCATGAAGCTCTCCATTAATAGAAATTGAAACTTTAGCTGAATGAAGAATTCTTTTTATCCAACTACAAAAAGTATCATTGAACCCAAACTTTGCAAGCACCTACAAGAGAAAATTCCAATCGAGAGTATCAAACGCCTTAGAAATATTAACCTTCAACATTACGTTCCCTCCAATAGTTTTCTTGTGCATAATGTTCGCCACCTCAGATGTTAAACAAATAAGTCCTTTATGCTCTTATCACAAAGCCCTTTTGTTCCTTCGAAATGATATGAGGAAGAATCTGAGCTAACCTGTCTGCCAAAACTTTTGTTATAATTTTAAACTTGAAGTTCGCTAACGCAATTGGTCTGTAATGATCAATACTCTCAGCCTCCTTAATCTTCAGAATCAGAACAACAGTGTTCGTATTATAATTGGAAGTAATCCATCTATCCTTGAAAAATTGAAGAGTGGCCTTAATGACATCATCCTTGATAGTCTTCCAATATGTCAGATAGAAAATGGGGCTGAAACCATCAGGGCCAGCAGCGCTGTCTCTCTTTAAGCTAAAAACAGCATTGTAAGTTTCTTCTTCAGAAGGCATCATTGTAAGAATGTTGTTGGTCTGCTCATTTACTAGGTTAGGAATAACCTCCTCCACCAAAGAATTATCCTGCATAACAGAAACAGAGTTAAATAAACCATTGAAATGCCGCACCACATGATTGGAGATTTCCTCCTTGCAAGTAGTAATATTGTTGCCAACTTTCAAAGAGTGCATAAACTTGGTAGAATTCCTTATTTTTGCCAATCTGTGAAAAAACCTCGTGTTCCTATCACCCTCCACATGCCATTGAACACGAGCTTTCTCTTTCCAGAATAACTCCTCAATAACAAGGGCCTGATCCAAACTGACTTGCGCCTTCCTCTCAGCAGCTGCCAAATCATCCGAGTGACCCTCAATAACAATCTTGTCTTGAATCTCTTTAAGATCCTTTTCAGCCTGCTTAACTTTGTCATTAACATTCCCAAAACAGCTAACGTTCCAAGTTTTCAACCTATCTTTCAGAATTTTCAACTTCTTAGTTAACACAAACATGCGGCAGCCCATAGCCAGTGTTCCAAACAGAATCCCCAACATTCTGACAATCTGGATGAGAGCTCCACATATTAAGGAACTTGAATTGAGACCTGTAACTATCAGATTGGCACAGTGAACACCCCTAGAAAACACAGTGAAAACCACAAATCCTTTGAAATTTTTAGAATCATTGAAATGAATTGCTCTCACTCAAAGAGGATCGTCATTTATGGCAATCAACCTGCTAAAATGCTGACAGATCTTTAATCCTTGTCATTATTGGTTAAAATTCCAGAAATATGTCTAATTGTTAGTCATGTATTGTAAGCTATATCATGGAGAAATCTAACTCCTTTAAAATATAAATCAATTGATCTAAAGCAATATGATCATATTTTTTTGATGACATTCCTTGAATCAACATTTAGAATAATTTGAGTTCAACCATATTAGAGATGTAGTTGACATACAGGAACATGGTTGATAGGCTTAGAGAGTGTAAAACCAGAATGAATTATATATTCTTCACCAATATATTAAAAAAAACTGATAAAGGATGTAGATTTGAGTACACGTTTATCACAGATTCACACACCTTAACAAATTCTAAGTGCATGTTTGGATTGACAGTGAGTTTGGCGGAATCACACCATAATTACATAGTTTTATGAAAAGCTACGCTTTAGAACTTCAACAAAATCAGTGTCGCTGTGATTTCATCAAATTCACTTGCTATCTACGCATGCACTAAATATGTGTATAAAAAGGAGAAATACTAACAACAAAATCTTCACTTTTTATTCCATTTGCAGGTTGATGAGTTTCTGTTTTTGAGAACATGCTGCTTGGTTTGTAAAGCTACAATTTTACCCATAATATCACTTAAGACTGTGGCTTCAATCTATCCATCAGTTCCGTGGTATGATTATATATATCTATATATAATCACATTCACAAGCACAAAGCTCATTGTTGTAACCCATTCCGCTGGATAAATCATTCAAACTCGTTTGTACGCGCTAAATGACCACCATATCCAGCCAGAGGTTCTGATAAATGAATCGTCATTATGCCATTGAAATCATCAGCATGTGAAAAAGCAAAACTCTGACCGCTATCCAGTACAGAACAATCCGACTGCCAATTTGGTTTCCATACCTTTCAAATTGGTCAGTTCTTGAAAGACTTCTGCATTAGAAATCGTCATTATACCATTGAAGGCAACATCTAAATTCTTTTCTACATTATCTCACACTACACGCGGCGATTTTTTGTTCCTCATAATGATCTTGTTCTTCCGTTTCCTCGTCTAGCAGGAAATTATCAATATCAGGAACATATCCATCCCACTTCATCTCATCCACGAGTAAATGAGTTTGCTCGTATATCTCTTCAGATCTTGGATGTGCCTTGTCTCCGACAAGAAACGCATGCACCTCGTCTCTTACCTCAATCCAGCTGCATCCTGGCTCCTTCTTTAACTTATAATTCTTCATCAAACTTCTTATTTTCGCAACCTCGCCCCAAATTCCTGCAATAGCATATACGTTTGACAAAAGAACGTAAGCAGAAGAATCTTGAGGGTCCAACTGCAATAAAGAATTGGCTGCTTTTTCTGCAACTTCGACATTCCCTTGCAGCTTGCAAATACCGAGTAAAGTTCTCCATATTACATCATCAGCTTCAAATGGCATGCTTTCAATAAGCTTCAGAGCTTCATTTACTTGGCCCGACCTACCTAATAGATCTACCATACATGAATAATGCTCCATCTGGGGATCTAAACCGTAGACACTTCGCATTTTCCGGAAGTAACGTAGCCCTCTATCTACGAAACCCATATGTGCACAAGCTCTGAGGACTGAAATAAAAATGGTATGGTTTGGTTTCACATTCTGAAGCTGCATCTCCTCAAATAATTTAATGGCTTCTTCTCCAAGTCCATGGTATGCATATGCACAAATCATGGCGCTCCAAGTCACGTAGTCCCGCTTAGGCGCCTTCTCAAACATTACTCGTGAATCCTGCATATTTCCACATTTTGAATACATGTCTACAATAGTGCTAGCTATATACACATCTGAATGCAACTGTAGCTTTAAAATTTGTCCATGAATCTGCTTTCCAAGTTCGACGGTAGCCAAATTAGCGCAAATATCGAGAACCGTAGCATATGTGAAGTTGTCAGGTATTATACCGACTTGTAGCATATGAGAAAAATACCTCAAAGCATTTTCACCTTGCTTTTGCGACGAGAATCCAGAAATGATTGAATTCCAAGAAACCGTTGTTTGCTCTTCCAATCTCTCATGAATCTTTTCTGCCTCCACTAGCATTCCACACTTGCAATACATATCAATCATGGCACTTCCAACAAACCAATCCAATCCCATTCCGGACTTAATAACTCTTCCATGGATTTCCATACCATAGTTCAAAGCCTTCTGACCGGCACATGCTTTTACAACACTTCCGAAAGTAAAATCATCGGGTTCCATCGTTGACTGCAACATAGAAACAAAGAGTGAAAGCGTTTCTTCTACTCGTTCATTTTGCTCGTGAGCGGCAATGATTGCATTCCAAGACACAGCATCCTTTCTTTCCATATCATCAAATATCAAACAAGCTTCCATCAATGCTCCGCATTTTGCATACATGTCTAAAATGGTATTCGCAACACAGATATTAAACTCCAAACCACATTTGACGGCTAATCCATGCAGTTGAATCCCCTCCAAATGGCCTTTGATCGCTGAGCATGCAGTCAAAGCACCAGACAAACTAATTTCGTCGAAGCCAAGATAAGACTTCTGTAAAGACCGAAAAATCTTTAATGCTTCAAGACCATGATCTTGTCGTGCATATCCAACAATAATGGCATTATGAGATTGCCGAGTAGGATTGGGGAATGTGTTAAATAGTTTTCGAGCATCAAACATTCTGTCACATTTAGCATACATATCTAATGTAGCAGTTCCTACAATACTATCATATCCAAAATTAGTCTTTAGAGCATAAGCATGCAACTGTGTGCCAAATTCAAATGCAGATAATCCGGCACACGCCCTAAACACACTAGCAAAGGTTGATTGACTCACCCCTATACCTTCTTTCAGCATTTCCGTATACAATCTTAATCCCTCAATAAACCGATCATTTCGAACATAGCCTGCAATTACAGCACTCCAACACACCGAATTCCTCTCCGGCATCGCATCAAAAACCTTAAAAGCCTGATCAAGTTTCTTACATGTAGAATACAAATCCACCAGCGCAGTACCTGTTACAACATCACTCTCAAAACCCATCTGAACCGCAAGACAGTGAACCTGAAGTCCTAAACAATAATCCTCAACACCAGTACACGCTTTCAAAACAACAGCAAAAGTAGCATAGTCATGCAAAATTCTCAACGATCTCATCTTGACAAAAACTTCAACCGACTTCCAATGAATCCCGTTTTGTAAATAACACGACAACAAAGAATTCCACGAAACAACATCTCTCTCCGGCATCGAATCAAACAAAAACTGCGCAAATCCCATGTTTCCAATACCAGCATAACCGAATATCATAGTGTTCCAAGAAATTACATCCCGTTGAGGCATTCTGTCGAACACGTTAAATGCGTAACTCATATTCGAACATTTGCAGTATAATTGAAGCAAACAGTTGGATACAAAGATAGTGGGAACAAAGCCAGTTACTATCATCTGTGAATGAGCTTGTTTGCCAGGGTTCAGAGCTTTTAGGTTGGAACATTTTTGGAAAATATGGGAAAATGTTAGTTTCTTTGTGAGGTTCATCTGGGTTGTGGAAATGGAACAATTGCATAAATTGCATAAGGTGTCACTGTCTGAAAGTTAAGAATTGGAAGATAAACACGACGAGACACGGTACGATGTAACATCTATTGACTATATATTGTACGATAATAATAGGCATGGATTGGTTTGGCGGGATTTTGACACTTGAAAACAGAACAATGGTTCTTTTATTAATTTTGTTTTTGAGAAAGAGTTTAACTTTTATGCGAAACCAATTTTATTTTGTTATTATTTTGAGGACATAAATTAAAAATTAAAAATTAAAAAAAAAAACTTTTTTTTAATTATTTGGTAGTTATAATTGATACTTATAAAAGGTATATTCTATAAGTTTGTTATAGTTATCATATGCAAAACTAGAATAGTTAATAACAGGAGGGAAAAATTTTGGAGCTATATATTTGTAGTTACAGTCATTTATGAATGAGCTTAATGTTTGGTGATTTTTGGAGCTAGTTACAGACATTTATGCATGATCTTAGTGTCAGGTGATTTTTGGTGGTTTTGAATAAGAGTGTTTAAAAATACAATTAACTGAAGAATCATGTGTTGTTGCGGAATCAAAAATGGAGATGATTGTGGACAGTGCAGCAGAATGGAGTTTGTGATGCACATTCTTATTGTGAAAAGAACCTAGTGAGAAAATTGGTGGAAAAAGGAATAAAAACATGTTGAGCTCCTAGAAAATACGCACCACGTTGCCTCTAACGCGCCCACGCTGAAAAGTAACGCGTTTGTGTTGAAAGGCAGCACGCCCGCGTTGCAACTTTTCGTTGACACGTTCCCGACTGTTTTATAAGAAGAAGAAAGGAAAAAAAAGTTCGATTTCAAGGAGTATAAAGTGACGGAAAAGCAATATTTTAGAGCTTTTGGAGGCATTGAATAGCTTTTTCTTCAGTGATTTTTCATGTTGTTTGAATCTACACTATTGGTATTGATTTAATTTAACACGAGTATCTAGATTCCTCTTAGGTTAGGTCAAATTTGAGGTTGAACTTGTTTTTTCTTGATTGAGACATATGATCGGATGATGTTAATGTTATTGTTCTGACTCTTTGTTATTACTCAATTATTGATTGTGCACATTGCTTTTTGTTTGTTATAACATTCGAATCGATCTTGATAAATAGTGACTACGGACCCTAGGGCTTTCTATCTGACATACTTTAATAGTTGAATTCGTTAATTGACTAGAGATAGTATGATTATGAATTGTAACTTAGGGATTACCGTGATGTGTTGTCTGGTTTAATGGTATAATTGACCTAAGGGATTGGAGACTTAACGATTAGGCTAGTGAGCTACACACCAAGGGATTAGGTGTAGTGATTAAGTTAATCTATTGTGTAATTCTATTGTCATTCAATGTTCTTTGGAATGGTATGAACCTCTTTATTGTCAATATCTATTCCTCTTGTTTTATTCGTACGAAGAGATTATTATGGAGTAACCTTGTGTCGTGTATGCTGAAATTTATGTATGGTGAATGGTGTTTGGGAGGTGATTTCAACGCAGTTAAATTGGTCAAAGAAAGAAAAGGTAGGATTGTGTCTGTTAATAGGTTGGAGATGGACGACTTTTTTTGTTTCATCGAGAGTATGGAAGTCGTTGATCCCACTCCTATCGATAGGAATTTCTCTTGGTTTAGCTCCGATGGAGTTTCAATAAGTCATTTGGATAAATTCTTGCTTTCCCAGGGTTTGATGGAGAAATGGAATGTCGATGGTCAAATTGTCGGCAGTAGGGATTTGTCGGATCATTGTCCGATTTAGATTAAATGAGGCAGTGTGAATTGGGGACCTAAGTCGTTTAAATTCTTTAGTGCTTGGGTTGCGCATGAGGATTTTATGTCTTTCATCGAGAGACTTGAACTCCTTAGCCATTACTGGCAAAGCTGCTTTCGTCCTTAAGGAAAAGTTAAAAACCTTGAAAGCTTCTCTGCGCGTGTGGAACAAAGAGCCTTTTGGGTTTGTCGATTTGAAGGTGGATGAAGTGATTGTAACTTGAACTTCCTTATTTCGCTTGCTGCTGCAGTGGGGAGGGATCAAACCCAATTGTTGGCTCCAAACAGAGTTGCTTCTACTAAAGAAGTTTGGAATGTTATCCGTATGAAGGAGAGTCTTTTACGACAAAAGGCTAAAGTGGATTGGTTGTCAGAAGGCGATTCAAATTTCAAGTTTTTTCATAAAACTTTGAAGCAGCGGTTAAGAAAGAATTCTTTTTTGGGTTTTTACTCCAATGGTACTTAGATTGATAATGTGGTTGATGTTAAAAAGGAGGTTAAATCTCACATCCAAAGGACGTTTTGTTAAACTTTTTTTTCTAGGCCTACCCTAGATAGTCTTCTTTTTTAGCAACTTTTGGATTTTGATAGCTCTAAGCTCGAGGAGTCTTTCTCGGAGGATGAAATCAAGGCGGTTTGTTTGGAATTATGATGGAGACAAGAGTCCCAGTCCGAACGACTATAATTTGTGTTTTTTAAATCTTGTTGGTTTATTGTGAAAGGTGAGGTTTGTTGGTTTGTTAATGAATTCCATTCGGAGGGATCTCTTCCTAAGGCAATAACAACTTCTTTCTTGACTTTGATTCTCAAAGTCGATAATCCGTCTTCCTTAGATGACTTTCGTCCTATTTGCCTTATTGGTAGCCTTTACAAAATCCTTGCTAAGTTACTTTCAAATTGTTGGAGGTTGGTTGTTGGTAAACTTATCTCTCCCACTCAATTGGCATTTATTCCTAATAGGAACATATTAGATGGTGTCCTAACTATCAATGAAATTATGGATTATGTGAATAAATCTAAAAATAGTTGTATGTTGTTGAAAATTGATTTTGAGAAGGCATACAATTGCGTTTCTTGGGGCTTTTTGAGGTACATGCTTGGGAGAATGGGTTTTGGTAATCGTTGGATAGGTTGGATGGAAGCCCTTGTTTTTAATATTACCATTTCTATCTTGGTGAGTGGGAGCCCGACCCAGGATTTCACGGCCACAAGAGGTCTCTGCCAACAGGATCCTATAACCCCTTTTATTTCTTGTTGGTTGCGGAAGGGCTTTCGACTATGTTTAGGAAAGCCATCGTGATGGGAGATTTTGTTGGCTTTCATTTCAAAGATAACATTCATTTTGAAATGCTCCAATTTTCAGAAGACACCTTGTTGATTGGTAAAGGGTATTGGAGGAATCTTTGGAGCATCAAGGTTATTTTAAGAGGTTTTTAGTTGGTATCAGGCTTGGGTGTAAACTTACACAAAAGTAGGCTTGTGGGGTTAAATGTGGATCCGGGTTTTACTCAAGCGGCGATGTCATTTCTTAATTGCATTATTGGGATGCCTTCGTTCACTTTTCTAGGCGTTTTCGTTGGTGTTAATTAATCCTAGGAGTATTGAGGTTTGGACCTCGATTTTATCAAGGATGGGGATGAGGCTTTCTATTTGGAACAAAAGTAACCTTTCAATTGGAGGGAGAGTGGTACTTCTTAATTCTGTCCTCTCTTCAATTTTGATTTTTTTTTTACTTTTCATTCTACAAAGCTCCGAAAGCGGTTATTAGCGGGATCATAAAAATCCAAAGATCCTTTATTTGTGGTGGTCGGGATGAGAAGAAGAAAATAGCTTGGGTTAGCTGGGATTTGGTTTGTTTATCGAAGAAAGACGACGGTCTTGGTATCAAATATTATGGTCATTTCAATCTTGCTTTATTATGCAAGTGGAAATGGTGCATTTTGAACGAAGTCATGCTTTTTGGACTGAGATGCTCACTTGGAAGTATGGCAACATTCATAATATTACACTCACCTATCCTACTCTTTTGTTCAGTAAAAAAAACCTCGATTTGGTGGAAAGATTTATGTACGGTTGGAACAAAGGTAGACAATCCATATTGGTTTATTAGTTCCTTGGCTTGGAAAGTTGGGAATGGTGAACTCTTTGAGTTTTGGCACATAATCTGGCTTGGTGCGGTCCTTTTGAGCATCGGGTATGAACCCCTCTTTCAGATGGATGATTTGTCACGTCCGTTAATCATTCATAATGGTCATTGGACGACGAAGAATTGGAGGTGGAATGTCGCGTTGTTGCATGGCCCATTGTAGCAGGAGGCCGCGACTGAATATGCAAACTTGTTGTCTCTGTTGCAGCTGGTGTATTTAGTCAGGCATCAGCAAAATCAGATTCTTTGGTGGAGGAATACGTGCGGTTTTTTTGTCTCAGTTTTTTATGATAGAATTCCTGCTTGTTGTTATGAGGGGAGTGTAATTCCAGGGTATGTGTTAGACGCTCTTGGGAGCATGTGGGGTACAAGGATGCCTAGCAAAATCTTGACCTTTGGTTGAAGGTTGGTTCTAAATTTTCTTCCTACTAGGTTGAACCTTTCTCATAAGGGTGTGTCGTGCGTTAATTCTGGATTGGGGTGTCCTCTTTGTGGTGGAGAGCAAGAAGAATCTGAACATGTTTGGTTTTTGCCCGATATCGTTGGTTTGGTGGAGGCAAACTATTCAATGGCTGCAATTCGGTCTTGATTTATCTGAATTGCCTTTAGTTGATCGTTTGGTGGCTACTGGAAAGGAGGCCATAGTGAACTGTAACGTGGATTTTGGTTGGATTTTTGGATTGACTATTTGTAGAACTATTTGGTAGTGTAGAAATTCTATTATATGTAAGGGAGGTGCTTTGGTTAACTTTGACAGTTTGGGTTCGATCAAGCAGTTTTCGTGAGATTGGTTATTGGTGGGTCAAGTTCGAGGTTGTGATTTGTCTTGGTCGGATTGGTGTGCTAGGCCGATGTCGACTTTGGTTTAGGTTTTGTGGTGGTTGTCCTTCGTCTTTCCGTAGGATTTCTTTTTGTTTTCCTTTTTGTTTGGTGTTTGTATTTTGGTTGAGCATCCCTTGTGCCTCTTTTAATCTATTTGCTTATAAAAAATAAGGGATTATGATAATACGACCTGACTGCTCCCCCCGTTTGTTGTTTTAATTACATCGCACAACGTACCTTGTTTTAAGTTCGTAATCCATATGGAGACCAATTTATTTTTATTACTTCGATAAAAATACTAGTACATTTGCTAGTAAACTATCCATCAAGTTTTTACCACCATTGTCGGAAATTGTTGATATTTTTAACAAGGCATAATGTGAGACTTGTTTGATTTTATTTTGCTTAATTTTAGTTCTATTATAACCGTTATGAGCCCCAAAAGTGTACTTTACTATACTAATTTGAGTAACTATTTAGTAACTTTTCAAGTCTATGGTAGAATCAATTTTTTGTGTAGATTGAATGATCAGATTGTCACTTGAGCGAGTTTGTGAAAATGAAGAAAAATTGAGAAACTCTAAATATTAATATCTTTTTTGAACTTGTTTACACTAAAATTTTAGATTAGAGGTATTATTTGGGCATGATCATGAAGTAAAGCCGATTATTCTAATATTGGGGTAAAAAGAATAATACTTAACAATTATTATTGGTTGTGTAAGTTTGCTATTTCAGAATAGATTCTCATTTTATAAGTTTGTTCCTTGAGAATTTATAACAATTAAGTTTGGGAGTGTAATGACTTTCATATTACGATTTTTTAAAATATTTTTAATAGTATTTTAACTAAATTTGGGATTAACATTGGATGAATGGCAATAAATTATAGCATGATTTAAGATTATTGTGAGAAATCTCAATTCATCTCAAATCACTCTAACTAAACAACTATACAATATTTATATACGATCGAGGTTACAATTATTTGAAACAGAATAAAAGTAATACATAAGAGCATGAATAAAAGAGAATTGTTCCATTCAAAATTACTCAAATACTAAAAAAAAGATAGTAACTACATTATTAACAAAAGTCATCACATTCACACATACTGAACCGTGTTTGGTTTGGAAAAAGAAGCTTATGTTTTTTTTAGAATACTGGGCCGTGGAGCCCATTTGAGTTGTTTGATTTCCACACCCACACTGCTTTCTTGCACCGTGTTTTCTTTGGGGTGGATGATGGGCTAAAGCCCATCCATAAACGCACTCTCAATTCAATATTGTACCTCTGTTGTTTTAATTTGTTTAATTTTTATTGGTTTTGTTTAGGTCATTCTTGTTAATATTTTTGATTATTTAGATTTTTTTTTGTTTAGATTAATTAGATGATTTTGTTGGTTTTGATATTTTTGATTAACTTGATTTTGATTAATTAGAGTTTGACAATTAGGTTTTGTTTAATTGTTTTTTATATTAATTTTCTGCTAATTGTTGATTATTTTTAATCCTCATAAAATTTGATTAAAATATTAATAGACATTTAGAATCCTATTTGATTCTCTAATTGAATTTTCATTAAATCATATAGTTAATTTTGTTTAATTTTCGATAAACTTTGATTTAAAACTTTTATTAATTGTTGATTAGATCCTGTTGATAATTTTCTTGTTAAGTTCTTGTTTAGAAAATTTTGATTAGATTTATTTGATTAAATTCTTAATTTTAGTTGAGTCTTGTAATTAATTTCCTAGTTGATTGAATTTCATTCAATTTTTTGTTGATTAAAATCTTGGTGATTAACTTTGTTTATTTTTCTCGATGTTTCTTGAATCGTCTTCATGGGATTTGTGATATTTGTGCTTGCTTGATCTTGTTGACGTTTGAAATTGTATATGAATTCTCATTGGTTGATTTTGTTAAAGCTCTCCTTGTGCATAAGTTGACTTGAATGTAGGAAATGATGCTGACGTATGCACTCCTGTTCTAAAGATATGAGCTGTTAAACGTTGTTCTTGT